GAATTCAGATGTACGGATTGTCCCCACTCCATATTGTTATGGACGACACAGGGACCCCATGCTTTCAATGTGCGGTGTGCTTGGCTTACAAATTATGTGATGCACATTCACTGGCATATTGTATCGGGAAAAGTTGTGAAGCCGTCCCCACCTGTCACGATTGTACAATCCCGAGAGGTTTGGCAGCGTTTTTCCTGTCATCTTGTGTAGCCTGTCATACATGAAGATGTCACCAGAACCACTCAAGCCATTTCACCAAAAAAGTTTGCCCCACAGCTGAATGAACCTCTTTATTCTCGGTTCGTCACTGATCTCATGGTTCGGCATCGGCCCGTTCCATGCCGAGCTGATGGTTTGTCTGACCGGAATGTCCGTCCGTCCGAAGCCCCACCCAGTCCGGTTTAATTTACTACGGACGCGTCCGTCATGAATAGAGGAAAGCACTCAAGCATTCGTTTCTGTCATCATAACGAGTCCGTTTGAACAGCTGGGAAGTTCTGACAACACCTATCATGCGAAATCTCACACTCTCTCATTAACGTCAGCTCTTTGAGACTGCGACAGCATTGGCTGTGGCAGACCGTCGACACCCCTCCCTGTCGCCAGCAGTTGCCTGTGGAATGTGCGCCAGACCGTCGATACTCCTCCCCTGTCGCCAGCCGTGGCCTGTGGCCATGCGCAGACCGTCGCTTACTACTCCCCTTTCCCAGCAGTTGCCTGTGGGCAGTGCGCCAGACCGTCGATACTCCTCCCCTTGTCGCCAGCAGTGGCTGTGGCAGTGCGCAGACCGTCGATACCCCTCCCCTGTCGCCAGCAGTGGCCTGTGGCAGACCGTCGATACTCCTCCCCTGTCGCCAGCAGTGGCCTGTGGCAGTGCGCAGACCGTCGATACTCCTCCCCTGTCGCCAGCAGTGGCCTGTGGCAGACCGTCGATACCCCTCCCCTGTCGCCAGCAGTGGCCTGTGGCAGTGCGCAGACCGTCGATACCTCTCCCCTGTCGCCAGCTGTAAGGCAGAAGCTCACCCACTAAGGCTTGGTGCGTGATATTGAGATAACGGGCTTTGTGAGCTATGTAAGCATGTGTCATGGCTGGGCAATGTTCGTGATCAGGTCGTGGAGATTGGTCGTGGTGAATCCTGGTCCTAGTGCACATGTTATGGATCTATTTCAAGAGGTTCATTTGCCCCTCGTAATGTTGACTCCCTGCCGCCGCTGCACGTGCCCGCGGCTCGGTCGATGCGTCAGCTCGTGCTCTGCCCAGCTGTGGCCGGACACCGCGGCGCGCGTGAATCAGGTCCGCGTGGGCAGCGCCGCGGAGACAGCAGCCTCTTGCGCGAGGACGCGGTGAGTGACTCACCTTCCGTCCGGCCGCGTCCGCCGGTCGACACTCATCGCCGGTCGGGCGCCACGCGGCGACAGCGCGCGACGCGCCGCACTTCCTCTTCCGGAGCGGCTCGTGCGACCGCTGCCGGCTCGTCTCGCGATGGGTGCTTGTCCTCCGGCCGTGTCGCGCGGCCGCCCCAGGCCGCCTGACCACGGACGTCAGGGCCGCCCTCTCGGCGGCGGCGCGGAGCCCACGTCAGCGCCATCTGTTGCCGGCCGGTCGGCCCGGTGCCGACCCGGACCGGCCGTTGGCCCGCGTCGCGCGCATTGTGTCACCGACGGGCCGCGTCGCTCGCGCGCCAAACAACTGTTTACGAGCGCGTAAAACGCGGCGGCGAGCGCCACGCGCCACCTGGGCCCGCTGCGGCCTTTGTGGCGCGGCGGCGGCCGGCGCTCGCCGCGCCCGTAATGACCCGCCGCCCCAGCAAATGCGCTTTTGATTGTGGGGAGATTGTGTCTCCGGCGGTGTGCGTACCGTTGGCGCGTGGAGCTGAGGGCGGCGCCGGCGCCATCTGGTGGACCCTCGTGACGGTGCGGCACCCGCAGTCGCTGGGAACTTCCCACAGCTTGGGCTGCGCTATCTAGATCGCCGAGCGGACATGCGCTTTCAGCCGGTCGAGCATGAAATGGCTCCGCGCAAAGGTGGGCCGTGGGGCACGCAGGGCGGCTGCTCCCCGCGGCTCGCTCGTGGGGTGGCTCTACCGGAATGATTTGTGCGAGGTCGGCCTGCTGCAATCGTGATTTGATTTTTGCCCGCGCGGTTCTTCGACTCCTCCCTGATTTACTGATGTGGCCTCGCACTAAGCTATTGCTTGCAACACTTCAAGATCTTTGGTACCGAGCTGCATGCGCACATGTCGCCTGCAGTAGAGTCCTCAACGCGTGGTCGCATCGATTTTCCGTTAAGTGATGGGTACAGGCTAACAGGCGCAGGTAATGGGACCAGCTGATAGCAGTGCATTACGCCTGTGCTATTTTGGCTCGTATCCATTGGCCAACTGTCATTTTCACGAGCGCTGTCTGACTGATTGCGGTATACGTATCCTGCGTACTAACTCGCCCATCGCCTCAGTGGCAACGAACTTTTCCTTCTTCAATCTGGTTTCGTTTGTCGTAGACCTGCCCTGCGGCCCTGTGGGACGAGTGGGGGCCCGGGAAGTGCCTCCCGGACCGGGTCGGGGCCGGGGAGTGCCTTTTTGGCCAGAAGGGGGAGGTAGAGGGGCGTGGCCACCGCTTATCGAGCCTGCTGTCTGCTGACATCCGCAGGGGTCTCTGCTAATGCGCCGCAGCACAGAGCCCGTTTAACCGCCCGTTGGGAGGGAAATCACGGTACATGACGCTCCCGGTTACGTGCGTGCATTATGATCATGCATCGATCGGGGACATTTTAGTGTCGTCCATGTCCTCGCTGAGTGTTGTGGATGCGCTCCGTTCAGAGGCGGAGACAAGAGTTGCAGTGGCAGGGGGGTAGGGAGGAGCTATCGTGATTTGTGACGGGGGGCTATTTTACGAGCGAGTCGCACTCGCACTGACAGCACTTACACGCTGTGAACTGACAGATCTCACAAACGCTGAAACGCACAGCACCTAGCCTTTCAATGAGCTATGGGTGTTGGTTTGTCCTGGTGCCTTAAACAATGGTTTCAGCTGTGTACCGCACATGTTCGCTCGCTCGGTCTTGTCGTTAAACTACGGTTGTTTGGCTCGACTTAACGTCGCTCATGGGAGTGTCGATGAGATTTGCAACTGACGCGGCTTTTCTGATCACTAGATCCCAAAATTATACACAGTAGTGTCATGGTGAAGAAGAATTTCGCCCGAACCAGACTGCAGGGCTGGGGCCTCTAAAGCCCCATTAGCCCCCCCCCCCCCCCTCCCCCGCCCCCTGGCCGCGCCACTGACTCCGCTCCGCCTGATGTCAATGTGCTCGGGTGGCGTTTGGCCTTGGTGCCTCATGATACATTGTGCGCCGTTTTAGACGCCCGCGGTGATCTATTAGCTGATGGCTGCTGACGTGCCGCTCGTTCATTTCACGGGCTTCTCCTAAAACGGAGGAGATAATCGCCCTTGTGCCAGGGCGTTGGCTTGTATTCAGTCCGCCAACTGCTGTTCCCAGTCAGTCGGAGGGGAATCAATTCGGCGCTGCCAGCTTATTCATAAGCCATATCGATACGGAGAGTTGATGGGTATGGGAGTGGTGCCCAAGGGACCAGAACCGTTTCTGTTTTCTCTGATGGAATGCGTTCTTCATTCGATTGTGTCGTCGTGCTCTCCACCGGGGCAACCATGACTGTGCGTGTGCTTGTTGGACGGGAACAAACGCCGCTGTCGTGGAGGCACTGGTTGAATGGATATCGCCGTGGCCTGCGCTGGCGTCAGGAACTGGCATTGAGAGCGAACGTGCCCTTCGAAGTGCATTCCGTCGTACTGGAGCGAGTCTCTACAGTGTCCCCGACCATTCTTTAGTTCAGAAACGTCGACGGGGCCCGGCTGGGTATGAACAAACCCTTGACCGAACCTGACCAATACCAAGCCTGCAGCAGCTATTCTCGTAACTGCAGGGGTGTTCGTCGCGTGCAGTTCTGCTGGAATAGTCTTCGACCCAACACCGGTCGTGAAGGGCGCGATTGTTGTGTTTTCCTCCCCGTTACAATCATCGCTTCGGATTCGATTGTCATGCTGATCTCTCCCGCCGTCTTCACTTCTTCATGCGCACGGCTGCGCCCTTAGCTGCAGCAGACCGCCGCCGGGCGGTACACAGGCCCGCCCGGCCCCGGCCGGCGGCGGCCGCCGCCCCTGCGCCGGCGGCCGCCGCGAGCGGCGGGTCGCCCGGGCCGCGCCGACAGGAATGTGTGGCCGGCAGCGGCCGGTCGGAGGCGGGCCCGAGCCTGGACCGGCCCAGCGGACACCGCTAAGGCGCAGAGGGTCCGGCCGGGACCGCGCTGCGGTGGCGCAAACCGGGACACGCGACGCGGTTGGTAGGGGGAGGGGGAGGGGCGAACATTCAGGAGCTACCGAAATCCTTTTGCAGCCAAAAAATCCGTCAGCCCATGGACGGCGGCCCCACCTGGTGCTGGCGCCGCCGTCCGAGGCTCTCGGTGTTCCGACGCCGTGCCTGGGAGCGGCGCTGGACTGGCGATGCAGCTCAGGGCAGGCGAGCGACCTGACGAAGAACGATTACCCCAGTGCCGGGCCAGAATGTGTGTCGTTGGCAGCGCCGGCTCAGGGGAGACTGGTCATTACCCGACATTGCGTGCGTTTGGACGGAAAACAGACAATTAACCCAATTACCCGCCCTCCGGGAACGTATGATATAGCTTGAGTTAGCAATATCTCAGGATGCAGCAAAGGCATGACGGCAAAAACGGTAATCATAGCGTTTCTGCGTTAATTGTTACTCGGTTTCTTAATTGTTCCGTAGTGTGTTTTCCTGTCGGGAAGTTATTCGTGGAAAAACTCGCCCATGAAGGGGCGATCACTTCTGAGAATCTCCGCCGCTTGTCTGGACCGTCGTGTACCCGGCGGTACCCGCGGTACCCTGTGCTCGCTGTGGTGCTCTCGGCGTGTCCCCGCACCTGTCTCGACCTGACCTGACTCGGCACGTCTGTCCGTTGCAGCGGCGAGAACCAGTGGCTGCACCCGGACGTGCGCGTGCTGGAGCATGACCTGCCCCGGGGCGGCCCGCTCGTCCTGCACTTCTTGGTCCGGTGAGTGAGGCCGGCGAGAGCCTGGCCTGTCGGGCGCGGACAAGCCGGCTGGCGTCGAGCCGCCCCACGGGGGCCGCCGCCGCAGCCGACGTCCGGCGGTGCACGGGTCGAGTGACGGTGCAGGGGCTCCGGTCGGTCGGCTGTACGACCACGGTCGGCCGTGGTCGTACAGCCGTGTGTGATGTTCGTACAGTGGACAGCCATGTGTGATGTTCGTACGGTGGACAGCCGTGTGTGATGTCTGTACGGTGGACAGCCGTGTTTGATGTTCGTACGGTGGATAGCCGTGTTTGATGTTCGTACGGTGGTCAGCCGAGTGTAATGTTCGCACGGTGGTCACCCGTGTGTGATGTTCGTACAGTGGACAGCCGTGTGTGATGTTCGCACGGTGGACAACCATGTGTGATGTTCGTACGGTGGACGGGCGTGTGTGATGTTCGCACGGTGGACAGCCGTGTGTGATGCTCGCACGGTAGACAGCCGTGTGTGGTGCTCGCACGGTGGACAGCCGTGTGTGATGGTCGCACGGTGGACAGCCGTGTGTGATGTTCTCACGGTTGACAGCCGTGTGTGATGTTCGCACGGTGGACAGCCGTGTGTGATGTTCGCACGGTGGACAGCCGTGTGTGATGTTCGCACGGTGGACAGCCGTGTGTGATGTTCGCACGGTGGACAGCCGTGTGTGATGTTCGCACGGTGGACAGCCGTGTGTGATGTTCGCACGGTGGACAGCCGTGTGTGATGTGTCGTACGGTGGACAGCCGGGGTGATTGTTCGTACGGTGGGACAGCCGTGTGTGATGCTCGCACGGTGGACAGCCGTGGTGATGTTCCGCACGGTGGACAGCCGTGTGTGATGTTTGGTACGGTGGACAAAGCCGTGTGTGATGTTCGTACGGTGGACAGCCGTGTGTGGATGTTCGTAAAGGTGGACAGCCGTGTGGGATGTTCGTACGGTTGGACAGCCGTGGTGTGATGTTCGCACGGTGACAACCAATGTGTGATGTTCGTACGGTGGACAGCCGTGTGTGATGTTCGCACGGTGGACAGCCGTGTGTGATGTTCGCACGGTGGACAGCCTGTGTGGTGTTCGCCACGGTGGACAGCCGTGTGTGATGTTCGGCATGGTGGACAGCCGTGTGTGATGTTCGTACGGTGGACAGCCGTGTGTGTGTTCGCACGGTGGACAGCCGTGTGTGATGTTCGCACGGTGGACAGCCGTGTGTGATGTTCGCACGGTGGACAGCCGTGTGTGATGTTCGCACGGTGGGCAGCCGTGTGTGATGTTCGTACGGTGGACAGCCGTGTGTGATGTTCGTACGGTGGACAGCCGTGTGTGATGTTCGTACGGTGGACAGCCGTGTGTGATGTTCGCTCGGTGGACAGCCGTGTGTGGCGGCAGGCCGCACGGGGCGAGTGTTGACTGGGCTGCGCTGGGAGGCTGCGGCGCGCTGTGAGCTGTGTTGCCGTCCTGCGACTCGCGCAGCCAGGCTGCTGGTCGCTGACGCCCCCTCCCCCTCGTGCCGCAGGTACTACCCGGAGTCGTTTACACTGCTGCGGGATCCCGTGGCCGTTGAGCTGTTCTACCAGCAGGCCAAGAGCCGCGTCTTCAAGGTCGGTAGCGGCACTGATGTATCGCATGGGACCCGGCCGCCGGCCGGACTCTCCCAGGTAGTCGGCCGGCGGCCGTCCCCAGCCCAGATCTGACGTCGGACGTGGCCGGCCTGGTGGCGGCGACAGCGCCGTCGCCGGGCGGTGATGGGATCGGCTGTCCGGCGGCGCCGCGACACTGCGCTCACCGGGAGCTGGCGACCGACCGGCGCCACCTCCGTCACCTCGGCCGCCCGGCCCTGTCTCCCGTGCGGGCGGCCGCTCGCCCGCATTGTCCGGCCTGTCGGGGGCGGGTTTTTGTGCGCCCGCTGAATGGGGCCGCTGCCGGAGCGGGCGGCCGGGTCACACGCGGCCGGTGCGGTCACTGCGTGCGGCCTCAGCGCAGGTCGGCTCGGACGTCCGGCGCCGCCGACCCGCCCGACCCGGCCGACCCGAGGTCAACTGGCCCGCCGCCCACATCCGTCATTATTAGCGCGTCGCGCGCCGTCCTGACCCGAATAAACCGGGCCGTTTTGGGCGGCGGGTGCGACTGACCCGACCGGGCCGGACGGAAGCGGGGCCCGGCTCGGCCCTCCGCCCGCCGCGGCCGGCGAGCTCGGCCCCCGCCGGTGCGCGCGGCCGGATATTGGCGCACAGGGTCGGTGGGAAGCGAATGTAGCCGTCTGTCGGCCGACACTGGGCTGGCGTGCGGAGCGGAACGGCGGCCGGCAGTCGTGTTTGGAGCCTCACGCTTGGGCCGTATTCCTCTTTGCTGCTACCACTCTTTTTCATAGCACATCATAATATTGATATATCATCCATATACCAGCGCGTTTAGCGGCACCGAGCTGATGGGACCGTGTTGACCCTCCGTCTGCCGCTTCTTTGAACGCTCAGCAGAGTCAAGTCACGGGCCAAAGGGGAGGGAGCTGGGTTGGGCGCCCGTTGGGCGGCTGGCCCAGCTGTAAACCCCCGCGGAATGGGCCGGTGAAACTGGAGCGCCGCCGCCGGCCGGACAATACCGGTCCATTTGACGGCGCCCCTCAGCGGCGGCGGCGGCGGCGGCGGCGGCGGCGTGTTTGCACGCCGCGCGTCGCTGTGTGGGCGCGTGGCCGGGCGGGGGAGGGCACAATGGACGCCGGCCGTGGCGCGAGCCCATATTGTGCTGCCCGGTGTCGATGTGGCGGCGGAGGTGTCAGCCAACACGACGGCTCCGGGGATGGACCGGGTGGCGGGACGTGTGATGTTGCCACTCTGGAGCGTGGATTAGGGTCAGGCGAGGACGCTCCAGCTGGTGTGGAATCGGTCGCACAAGCGCGTCATGACATTGTGTGGGTTACGGCACGCGTATCTGAACTGACTGAGCTGATTGAACGTGGATCAAGCCACGATTGCAAGCGGTGTAGCGAGAGTACAGGATCTTGGGATCTGCCAAGGAGCTCCAGGCACACCTCTGGCAACAATATTCGTCGGTGACGACCTTCAACATTTATAAGTGACAACCGTCAACGTCCATCGGTGAAGACCGTCAACATCCATCGGTGACGACCGTCAACATCCACCGGTGATGACCGGCGGCGGCGCTGGTTTGACGCGCCGCGGCCGACGTCTTCACCGCACCGTTGGGTTGGCCGGCGGCCGGATTGGCGTCGTTTCCGGGATGTTTGCCGTGGCCGCGCCGCCGGACAGCAGGCGGGCGCGCGCCGCCGGCTGGTCCGCGCCTGTCGCCGCCCGCCGACCGGCCGAGCGTGCCGAGCGTGGCGCACTCTCCCATCTGGCGTCGACAGCACGGCCCAGCACGTGAGAACGGCCGTTTTTCCGGCCCGGCCTGGCCGCTAATCACGTGTCTTAACGACGCGGCGTTTTTCTCGGACAAACGCGGCGCGGCGCCGCTAGGTGTGTGTTGGTTCCCGTCGGCAGACGCGGCGGCGGGCGCAGCTTTCAACTGACCCTGGCCGGGCCAAGAACAGGTTCTGCTGTCAGTCATGTGACGAGGCGTGTCACACGCTTGAAAGGAAACTGACGGTTGGTCAGAAGTGCAAATTCCGATCCCAGTCGCTCGAGACCGCAAATATTTATGAGCGTGTATGCTCTTGTAAGCATTGTTGTCAGAGGTCCGTACGGCCGGGGTGCGGCCGGAGGGCAGTCAGGTTGACGCAGCGAGGGAGAGTGGCGCCTTCGGTCCGCTCGCTGCGAGATAGCTCGGGTGCCATTCCAACCGAGGCCGAGGTGCAGGCCTGCAGGCCTGTTCGTTGCCGTGAGCAAGTGAATATGCATGCATTAATCTCTACATAGTTAAGCCAGTAGTAATAGCCTTATTCTTCGAAGAAAAACCAGGAGAATGGGGACATAGACGCGTTGACATTTCGACAACATGCTTTTATCGAAGCGAATTGCATTGTAGCGATAAAGGCATGTTGCGGAAATATCAACGCATCTTTATCTCCATTATCCTGGGTTTTCTCGGAGGAATAAGGCTATTACTACTGTCTGATCTATGTGAATAAGACTGCCCGCAAATGCACTTAAACAGTTACGTAATTAATCCGTGCAGACGAATTGATTATCTTTAAGTGTGGCACTAACATAGCTCCGCAAACCTCTGCATAATCGTCCGTTATCGAGCCTTCCTCCCCGACCATTACGCATGACAGTATAAACGGTTGGGCACATGTGCGCCGCACTGTCTGTGCGCCACCATCTGTGGCTGTCTCACATCGGCACCCGGATTTCTAATGTATTGCCTGCGACTCGCGTGACTGCGCCGTTATACGCGCCGTCTCACCGGGGATGGCTTCGTCCCACCAGTGCCGCGGTCCTGGGCGGGGTGAGGAAGGAAGCTGCTTGCCTGCGCTATTCCGAGCGCCAAACATTAGCGAGCGCGTGTCGTCTGGCACCGCTCCAGCGTGCTCCCCGTCAGGTCACGCCAGCCCACCCCGCCAGGTCACTTCCTGACCCGGTCTGGCACGCCCGTCACGCGTGACGTCACAGGTCTGACGACGGTGACGAGTCGGCGGCCGGGTCGGTGATGTGCGGTGCGAGGCGGCCCGACCCCGCCGCTGCCGCGAGAGCGGCTCCCTCCCGGCCGGGCCGGTGGGGTGCGGTGCGAGGCGGCCCGACCCCGCCGCTGCCGCGAGAGCGGCTCCCTCCCGGCCGGGCCCGCCGGCTGTTGACGCGCTAGCGGTCCTCCGATAGCGGAGGTCGGCCTGATTGAGCCGCGGCCGGCCCGGTCCGTCCGCGGCCCGGGGTGTGCTGGGCCGCCGCTCCCCAGTACCAAGAGGAGCGGTAATATCGCATCAGCACGCAAGATCACGCTCCCCCTAATGGACGCTGGTGGCTATCAAGGGACCGAGGTATTGTGAACGGCCGTGATAACCGCGCTGAGAAAAGGACGCGGCTCAGAAACTGATGCCGCGTGTGCTATGCGATAAATTGCCGTTTCTCGTGCGGTGGCACTGTTCCTAATCCGGCGTTTGAGCGCGCCATACAGCCGACGCAATGATGTACGCTGATCTGCTGGCGCCTGGCGCCGGCGCCACGCCTGCGCTGACCAGCGCCAGGTCCGGGCAGCGCTGGGAGGGAGCCGGGCCACGTCACGGGTGCTGCGGGGGACCGGCGCCATCCGCTCTGGCCGGAGATGTGGCGCGTGCCTTGACATCGGGCCGCTGTCCCCCGGTCGACGGTCCGACCCGTGGAGCGCCTCCGCTCTGACCGGAGATGTGACGCGTGCCTTGACATCGGGCCGCTGTCCCCCGGTTGACGGTCCGACCCGTGGAGCGCCTCCGCTCTGACCGGAGATGTGACGGGTGCCTTGACATCGGGCCGCTGTCCCCCGGTCGACGGTGCGACCCGTGGAGCGCCTCCGCTCTGACCGGAGATGTGACGGGTGCCTTGACATCGGGCCGCTGTCCCCCGGTCGACGGTCCGACCCGTGGAGCGCCTCCGCTCTGACCGGAGATGTGACGGGTGCCTTGACATCGGGCAGCTGTCCCCCGGTCGACGGTCCGACCCGTGGAGCGCCTCCGCTCTGACCGGAGATGTGACGGGTGCCTTGACATCGGGCCGCTGTCCCCCGGTCGACGGTCCGACCCGTGGAGCGCCTCCGCTCTGACCGGAGATGTGCCTTGACATCGGGCCGCTGTCCCCCGGTCGACGGTCCGACCCGTGGAGCGCCTCCGCTCTGACCGGAGATGTGCCTTGACATCGGGCCGCTGTCCCCCGGTCGACGGTCCGACCCGTGGAGCGCCTCCGCTCTGACCGGAGATGTGACGGGTGCCTTGACATCGGGCCGCTGTCCCCCGGTTGACGGTGCGACCCGTGGAGCGCCATCCGCTCTGGCCGGAGATGTGAGGCGTGCCTTGACATCGGGCCGCTGTCCCCCGGTCGACGGTCCGACCCGTGGAGCGCCATCCGCTCTGGGGCGGGCTTCAGAGTGCGCCGCCCCGCTGCGCTGGGGGCCGGGTGAGTCGATATCGCCGGCAGTTACGGAGAGCTCAGGCGTTGTTGCCGGCTAGACCGGGGCATTCCGGGTGCAGTCCCGCTGCTGGTGTTCAATCGGACGTTCGAAACGCATTGAATGCTGTTTTTATGATGACCTTTACGTGGAAGCGCGCTCGTCAACTGAGCTGCAGTTCCCTGACGTGACTAGGTACGGTTGGCCGCGTGCGTGCCATCTCGGTTGCCTAGCAGAGGTGCATTGGTGCGGATGGCGGTCTGAGCCGTCTCTGTGTCGGGAGATTCGGACCGCATGATGGGCCAGATGTCCCGTGCGCGTTCTCGTTAGCTTGGCTCTATTACTGTGTATCCTCCCTGGGGACACGTTATGCCCGGAGTGTGTCCTGCACCTGGCCGCGGCGTCCCGCGCGCACGATAATTGCCCGCCGAGATCCCCGCTGCTCGGGCGCGGCGGCGGCGCCGGCGTCGGCGGTGCTTCAGACGTCCACGTCATCATTAGGGCCGGGCCGGGACGCTCGAATTAGTCGCCGCCGGCCGCCGTAATCGTCGCGGAGAATGCGGCGCGGCCTGGGGAGGGGCGCCCCGCTGCGGACGGACGCGCTCGTTACGGAGCCGAGAGGAGCGCGCTCCGGAGCCGGCGGAGGTCCGCGGGCGGGCGGCGCGGCGGCCGGCCGGGACCGGCCCTCCCGACCCGGCGCCGGGTACCACACTCCTACCGGGCGCGAGAGAAGGAGAGATGGCGCTGTCGCCGGGCGGAGCGGGGAAGCAAGTGGAGGGGTGGGGCGATGCCACTTGTCGGTGCGGTGGAGATTGATGTCGGTACTTCGCGAGGTGGCGGCGGTAATCGGCCCAGTGACGGCCATTCCAGCCGGCCGGCCACTCAAGGAAAGCAGCGGGTACCCCTTCACCGGGCGTGATTGGCCTTCGGCGGCAGTTTGCCGGCAGTTGGGCCAGGCCGACCGTTTAATGCGTGCGCCCCGTTCCCAGGCGTAATGGCAGCAGTGCCGTCAGCGCAGAGTACGCCTGTGCTGTACCGGACCGCTTTGTCTCAGGCTCCCGCTGGGTGGACGAGATGGATGGTCCACGCCGGTGAAAGACGTTTATCTGGTGAATGACTACGACCCAGATTGTGTGCGAAAAGTCTCACACCATTATTAGGGAATCCTCCCAAACACAAAGGGCGGCGCAGGTAGAAGAGCGCTAAGATGGCTGTAAATACCGGGCTATTGCCTTTTGACCGCCGGCTGCCCTGCGATGTGTGTTATTAGCGGCCAGTCGACAGGGCGTTTGGCAGCGCGGCTCGGCCGGCCGTGTGGGCTCGGATGCGGCCTGCCGGTGGCGCGGCGGCGGCAGGGTCGCCGCCAGCGTCCGGTGCGAGCTGCCGGGCCTCCAGGTCCGCCGGGTGTGGTCCGCGACACCGGCAGGCCGTCATGTCTCGCCGGCGTCGCTGGGCGTTCACCCTCGTCCGCCGGTAGAGGCTGGGCCGCCCCCCGTGTGCCGATGCCGCCGGCCCGCCACCGCCGGGCGCCGACCGTTCAGTCGTGTTGTCCGTGGAGGCGTCGGAGCGCGTCGCGTACCGCCGCTTGCCGTGGATTATCCGCCGGGACGGATTGTTTGTCACGCCCGCAGGACGCGTTGTGCTGGAGCGTTCAGCTGTGATGGGATGGTAAAGACGCCACTTGTCGATGGCGCGTCGCCTCTGTTGAGAGTTTCTGAGAGGTGCCGACGCCTGGTGGTCGCGTGTTGTCAGCAGCAGCGCTCACAGACGTCACACGCCGCGGAGCTGTCCCGGTGGTCCCGGTGGCGCAGGCCCGCCTGGACCCATCCACAGTACGCAGAAGTTTTGCACCCGTGCACTTTTTACCTTGAAGCCGGTGTCCTGTTGTTTTGATTCCGGGAACTGACTAGGTTCGCTGCGGACTGAATGGACTGGCGGGCCGCTCGCTTCAGCGGTTGTCTGTCGTTGACTTGCAAATAGTCACGGCTGATTACGGGCCTGGTGACCGAAATGACCACCTATTACTATCAAAATCTACATAAGTAGCGTGTCGGAACGCGCTCGTGCCAAGGTTCCCGAGGTTCGGGTCGCCCGGCCAGCCGCCAAACCTCCACCGCCGGTCTCACGTTCCCCAATGGGGCGCCGTTTCTCACGGGGTCGGCGCGTTTTCACAATGCGGCGGCGGCGCACCAAAGGGTTGTATGCCGACCGGGAGACAGTGCCGCGCCGCTCTTGGCGCTGAGCCCGGCTCGCGGCCGGCGCAGGGGTGTTCAGGCGGCGGCGGCCGGCTGTGTGCGCGGCGGCGCCCCGTGAAAGGCGACCGGCCGCGCTCACACACCGCTGAGCGCTGCTGAACCGGAACGACGTCGGCGGCCGCGTCAGATCCGCGGCCGCGCCGCCGCACCCCCACCGACGGCGTCCACAAAGCCGGGGGTGCGGTGGGGGTTGACCGGCGGGCAGCCTGTGCCCGCCGCCTGCTGGAGGTAACGGCCGGCGGCACAGGTGCGAGAGCCGGGGACGGGGCGCACCCGGACCGAGGGTACGCAGCGCTGGCCGCTGACCGGAATGTCCCGGTGTGGGGCTCTGCCGGCCACCGTCGCCGCTGCGCGCCGCGGGACTGGGGGCTGACGCCGTGTGTGGGTCCGGGGTGCTGATCCCGTACTGGACGGACAGCTGGGCCGCCCGTGGACGTGTGCCGTGGGCCCGTGTCCTGCACTGAAAAGGAATGTAACTGTCGGGAAGCATCATGTGTATGTCGTGTAACAACCCCCAACAGGAGATGCTCAAGGAAATGATCTCCAATGCCGTTCTAATGCGTCAAAGCCAAGTCGTCAGACTGAGGCATGTGCGATTGATTAGCTGTGTTCCCATACAGTGGCGGGCCGTCTGTCCCGCCCTGAAACCATGCCGGTGGTGTCGGGCTCCTTCATTTGAAAATCCCAATTCAGCGCGAATGAAGTATTCTGGTGTGGCCCTTGGCTGCGTGCTGTAACGTGCGGTGGGAAGGCCTGCCCAGACCATCATACATCATTCTCCTCCTGTTCTGTCCTCGGGCTGTTACCTGCCTGCTTCCAACCGCCTCTCGCTGCCCTTCGCCGCAATCTCCCGCTCTGCCCGCTGTATTCCATCTCGCTTGTCCGCGGCGTCCGATAAATATCTTCCGCCGGCTTGCTGTCGGGTGAAATATTGGCGGTGCTCCACATCTGAACGCCGGAATGTTTCCAGCCATCTGATCGGTTATGCTCTCCCACGTTCGCCTCTCCCTTCTTGTCTCTTTGATCGTCCGGGTGACTCTTTGTCTGCGCTGGCGGGGCGTTCGCGTTGCCACAGAAAGCCGTCGGACTCCCGTAGATTCCTGTGGATCGGACGGGGCTCGCCACGAGGTCTTCTCACTCGTTCTTCAGATTCATCATCAATGAGTAATGCTTGATTGTATCGAAGGCCAGCTTCTGAATATCTATCAGCTCAATTTAAAGGGGCGATTCAAGACCGCTGCGCGCGCATCACCGCCACCCAGGGGTTGATTCACACGGTGTTTGCGCGCGATTTTCATCATAACTCATCGACCGCGGGTTGCCGGCTCCTGATATATGACTCGGCCAGCTCCTTATGAATGGAGCCGGCGGAGACCTGGCGTAATAATCGGACTCGGGAATGTCTGCTGAGAGGGGGAGGGGCGGGGGGCGAAGCCACCGGGCGCCGGCGCCGGACCGTCCCGCCGGCCAAGTGTGGCCACTCTCCTCAGCAGAGCAAACATGCCTGACGCCGCCGGCCGGCCGGCCGGGCGGCATTCCTCCGGCCGGCGAAAACACGCACTCTCCACGGCGCCCGCCGCGTCTGGCGGCGCGCAGGTGGGAGGCGGGCCGAGTCTGGCGGCGCGCAGGTGGGAGGTGAGCTACGTCTCTCCGGCACGGAGGTGGGGGATAGCCGCAGTGTGGAGCTGGGCTGCGTCTCCCCGGCACGGAGGTGGGTGATAGCCGCAGTGTGGAGCTGGGCTGCGTCTCCCCGGCACGGAGGTGGGGGATAGCCACAGTGTGAAGGTGGGAGGTAGGCCGGGTGGAACTGGCGGGGAGGTGGAAGGTGGGCCGCGTCTGGTGGCGGGAAGGTGGGAGGTAGGCCACGTCTAGCGGCGGGGATGTGGGAGGTGGGCCGTTCCTATGAACGGCCCACCTCCTACATTCGCGCCGCTACCCGACCCGCGACCCGGCGTACTGCTTGGAGATGGCCCACCATCTCCCTGTACACAAGTTACAGCTGGGCTGCATTCTCGCGATTCGTAGATGAAACGCCGGCGCTTCTCCGGGGCTGCGACACCGGAGTGGGCTTCCCTCTGTGGGTATGAAGCGGCGACGACGTGTGTCTTCTTCGGCCGCTCAGACGCGCTCGAGCCGCTGTCGGCCGTGCCCGCGCCGGCCGCCGTCGGCCGCTCGGCGCCCGTTTTTACGGCGCCGCAGCGGCGATCGACGTCGGACACCTGTTGTTGTGAGCGGGCCGTGCGACCCTGGCCGACCCGCCGCGCGCTCGGCCGTAACGGTGCCGGCCGGCCGCCGGGAGAGGGCGGCCGCCGCGCACCGGCAGCCGGGCGTCCTCTCCGGGCTGTGCCTGACGCAGCCGGAGTCGCCAGCCGGGCGATGGCAGGATTTGCTGGTGTCGCCGGCGTAGAGTGTGGACCTAGCAGGCATGACGCGTGTTAAGTTGGCGCACGCGATGATCGTGGGGTTTTCTATCGTAGTAGATGCGAATATCTTTTGCACGTCAGGCCGGCGATGTGTGGACTCAATTGCAAGGCATTAACGCACCATCAGTATAACGTACCATTATAATTGATTAACCGGCCTGCATAATGTTTCACTCGCTCTCGATGTCTTCTTGTTGATTCCCTTGTTGTTGGTTGAGCCCGCTGCCGGGTGGCGACCGCTGGTGTCACGTGGCACTGAGCGGCGTGACGCCTGACTGCTGCCGTGCTGACCTGAACTCTCCGCTTCGCAGGGGGAGCTGGAGACAGAGGGCGAGGGCGACGCCATCTTCAAGCTCGCCGCCCTGGCCCTGCAGGCCACGCATGGCGACTACGTGGAGTGAGTATTCAGTGTCAGCAGAAGCCTGGAACGCCTGCAGTTTCCATCGGCCCATGATCGTCATCACGGGCACAGCTTCACTTGCAAGGAAGCCGTCCCTCGACAGTGCCCCCATCAGGCTGATGACCATCCGTTTTGGGAGTTCTCGCTACTTTCACAGTCTTCCTTCTCTGGCGAGGAGGGAGGCTGTGGTAGTGTGTCTAATGACCCCCGCTCCGACATCCCGTCGTCTCCTTCACCCCGTTCCGAGGGACAGGCTTTCCCCGCCCCTGCACTCAAGAGAGCCCCTCTTTTCGAGTCCACTTGCCTGGCAATTATCGGATTATACGCCGCACCAGATATGGGTCGGTTTCGCGGGGCCGTCGTGGGTGGCTGCACCCTTCGTGTGCGGCGGGAAGGGCGTGGGGGAGGGATGGGCGGACTGGCCGTCCGTCATACGCAGGATGCGCCGAAGCGCAGAGCGCTCGCCGATCCGGAGCGGGGATCTGGGATTCGGCGCGGAGAGGCCACGTCGGGCTGCTCTGGGCAGGCTGACGGCTGACGGTGTCGGAGCGGCGGACCGTGTGGATGCACGGTCGGGCAAAGGGTGGTACAAAACATGTTCGGAGTGCAACCGCAGACATCATTAAGTATGGAATAATTTTAGCGCTAATACGTCGATGTGGAATGATAAATGCATTCCAAATACCTCAATTTGGCGAATTTCCTACGATCTGTGGAAGGTCAGCTTTTCATTAAGGCGCGCTGTGCAGTTCAGAGGAAGATAGAGAGCGAAGACTCCGAGCGAAAAACGGCAGAGCAGCGTGACATCGGGCTCGTGTCCTGCATACCGAGGAGGGGGTACAGACTCGTGCGTTGCGCGCCGCGCGGAGCGTCTGCTGTCTGTCCGTTGGCGGCTGTGGTCGACCGACGACAGACCGGAGAGCATGCACCGTCGCCCGCTGGCCAGACGGCTTTGACCCGCACTGAAGAGTCCCAGTCACCGGAGGGCGCTCCCACTCTGGATTGTGGGGTCTTGCCTGCGGCGGGCGGTTCGCACCTGCCGCTGGCGGTTCTGAGCGGCGGACCCCGGCTCTTGTTGTAGGGTGTGGGCCTCGCCTCCGCCCGCTCGGCCGGGCGCTGGGCGGGGACGCCGAGCCGGCGCCGAGAGCGGCGGCCGACGGTCGCAGAGCCGGCGCTCGCGTGCGGCCGCTGCTCTCGCGCCGTCGTCCGGGTCGTAAGCCGGCCGTGACGGCGGCGTTATGACGCGGCCACGGAATGCGAGTCCGTCTGAGGCTCACCGTGCGGCGCCGCTGACCACCGGCGCGCCGGCCAGGGATCACGGGCGGAGTGCGGGCCCCAGGAGCCACGGGGTCTGGTCGGGAGACCCGCGGACAGGCGCTGCGAGCCGGCGGAGCTGTTCGCCGCCGGTAACTGAGCGCAGAAATCGGACGTGTATCACCGTGGTCGTGGATCGCGCCGCGCCGCTCGGGCGGTGACACGCGCTGCGCGGCGGATGAGGTCATGCCGGCACCGTGTGATGTGTGACTGAACGACTCCAGGCATGCATGGTGAGCAGTCCCTGCATACATGTGTATGTATGGGGAGGGATGGGCTGAGTGGCTGTCGAACGCTGCACAGGCCGGCTGGGCAGCAGTATCCGGGACCGTCGTGAGCTCGCGCGCTGGGCGGGCCAGCCGCGCGGCGCTGCCGGTGTCTCTCCAGGGGCGGCCGGCGGGGATGCTCCGCACGTCCGCGGCCTCAGTCGGCCGTGCAGCGAGCTGGCGGGTCCGCTGTTGACAGTGGGCGCCCGCCGGCCCGCTCCGAACAAACACCGGCGACCCGCCACTGGCCACATCAGACCGCCGTCCGCCGCCGCGCGCCGGCAGCGCGGCCGACGGACGCCGCCCGTGGCGGGGCCGGACCCGGCATCGGCGTCGTCTGACAGAGAGCGGCACGCGTCGGCGCCCCACCAACAGCCGGACAGGGGAGGGCACCCCATACATACGCAGAGGCGATGTCTCGGGACGTTTCCCGTCTCCAGCGCACGAGGCTGGCCGTCTGGCCCGGAGCAGGTGTGGCGGCGGGGGAGTGTTCCTGCGCCGCCCGCCGCTGACGGCCAGCTCCCGACGTCAATATTTACCGGGCGGCGGGCGACGCCTGTTGACCTGCGGCTGCCGACCTGCCAGGTCATTCTCCTGCACCGGCGGCGGCGACGGCGGCTGGGTGGGTGTGTTGCTGCCGCCCTGGTGCTGCTGGTGCCGCCGGTGGCCGCTGCGTCCGCAGGATACAGCGTGTCGGACACGGCATCATTATGCTTGCTGTGTCGTGAGCTAGCTAGGGCGTGCGCACTCTAATGGGGTTTCCCGCCTATTTGTGAAACGTGGGAAATTTATGGGATTGTTATAATTTTGTACTTAAACGTGATTTAGTCCTGGTTCAGCACTAACTCGGATGGGTCAAATGCGCGCCATGAGCATGGATGTATCGCTCATTTCTGCTGCACAGCAACATGTCTAACGTGTAGAAGCACGTCCGTCATTGCGTTGGCCTTTGCGTGGTCGAACGAGAGGATGTTTTCCGTTGGTGTTGTCCTACATTCAAATACATGTTTCGACATCACTCCCACCATCCAACAAATATGGTACTGCTGCTTCGGTTATGTTAATTTTGACGTATCGTCGGGAGCGTTTCCCTCCATTTGCGTTCCAGGATGTTCGTTAGTGTCCATCAGCTGTGTGGGAAGTTTGTGGTGCAGTTAATTGAATGCCAGGGAAGTAATGAATGTCTGTCTGGGCGCTTTCTTACCCAATACGCCCATAACAGATTATGGTTGGCTGTTCGCACCTTCATACTTCCACTTCCACTCTCGAATGAAACCGCAGGCCGCTGAGTCCACTCTCGAATGAAACCGCAGGCCGCTGAGCTAGAGCGGAGCTGATGGAGCCGGTCCTAGTCCTCTGCTGTACGGCGTCGAGCTCGGGGTTGCGGGGTTTGGAGTCGGTCGTGCTTACATCCCGTCAGGGGCTGATGTCACGGGCCGAGTATCAGCGTCCGTCAGCGCCGGATCATGGGCTGCTCAACCGCCGCGCTTGACTTCCTGCTGATCTCCCTCTGTCGGCCCGCCGGCAGGCTGGAGACGCCGTCGGTCCCGTTCGTGGGTGGACGGTGTCCTGCTCCTCTGTCCCGTACTCCGCTCCTCTGCCCTGTGCCCCGCTTCTCTGACCTGTGCCCCGCTCCTCTGTTCCATACCCTGCTCACCTGCCCCGTGTCCCGCTCCTCTGTCCCGTGTCCCGCTCCTCTGTCCCGTGTCCCGCTCCTCTGCCCTGTGCCCCGCTCCTCTGCCCCGTGCCCCGCTCAGCTGCCCCGTGCCCCGCTCCTCTGTCCCGTGTCCTACTCCTCTGCCTCGTGCCCCGCTCCTCTGCCCCGTGCCCCGCTCAGCTGCCCCGTGTCCCGCTCACCTTTCCCGTGCCCCGCTCCTCTGTCCCGTGTCCTACTCCTCTGCCTCGTGCCCCGCTCCTCTGCCCCGTGCCCCGCTCACCTGCCCCGTGTCCCGCTCCTCTGTCCCGTGTCCCGCTCCTCTGCCCTGTGCCCCGCTCCTCTGCCCCGTGCCCCGCTCAGCTGCCCCGTGCCCCGCTCACCTTTCCCGTGCCCCGCTCCTCTGTCCCGTGTCCTACTCCTCTGCCTCGTGCCCCGCTCCTCTGCCCCGTGCCCCGCTCAGCTGCCCCGTGCCCCGCTCACCTTTCCCGTGCCCCGCTCCTCTGTCCCGTGTCCTACTCCTCTGCCCCGTGCCCCACTCCTCTGCCTCGTGTCCCGCTCCTCTGTCCCGCACCCCGCTTCTGTATCCCGGTCGGCCGGCGGCTCGAGCAGCGGCGGGTGTGACGTCGCGGGCCCGCCGCCCCCGCAGCGCTGATCAGCCGTGCCCGTGTGAAAGCAGGCGGCTAGTCAAGCGGCGTTTGGAAAGTGGATGTGTCAGGCCTCCTGAGCTATGTTAACGAGGCTCTGTGGTGACATGCTCCACACACCGCGGTGGGTTTTTTTTTCGCCGCGCGCCTGCCTGTGGGTCGTTCGTGTTATTAGACGGAGCGGCAGCCGGTTCTTGCGTGCGGTTGAACGCGTCTCGGAAGCTAAACACGAAGGAGTCTTTAAAAACTACATTCCAGAGGTCTCTCTGATCCAGAGATTTGATCCTCGTCTGCGGTTCGTAGTGTGTAGTAGTGCTACTTGCGTGTTTACGTGGCAAGCATCGTGTATTTCCATGATTCTACGTTATCCGCTGGTGGCTGACTGACGGGGTATGGCTGGGCCTGACGCGGCAGCCCGTCCGGCCGCGACCCGAGGTGTGGGCGGACATAGCAGCCCCGGCCGCTGCTCCCGGCTCTGACCGGCCTCTCTTGTTTTGCAGTGACGCCAGCACGCGCCAGCTGCTGAAGCGGACGGCCCTGCTGCCGGCCAGCGTTGTCAAGCTGCACCCGTCGCTGGGCATGTGGTGAGTATGCGGCTGGGCCGACTGCCCGCAGGACACTGCGGGGCGGGGCGAGCAGGCTCAGCACTGCGTGGCGGGGCGAGCAGTCAGCACTGCGTGGCGGGGCGAGTAGTCAGCACTGCGTGGCGGGGCGAGCAGGCTCAGCACTGTGCGGCGGGGCGAGCAGGCTCAGCACTGCGCGGCGGGGCGAGCAGGCTCAGCACTGCGCGGCGGGGCGAGCAGGCTCAGCACTGCGCGGCGGGGGCGGGCAGGCTCAGCACTGCGCGGCGGGGGCGGGCAGGCTCAGCACTGCGCGGCGGGGGCGGGCAGGCTCAGCACTGCGCGGCGGGGGCGGGCAGGCTCAGCACTGCGCGGCGGGGGCGGGCAGGCTCAGCGCGGCAGGCAGGCCGGCATGCAGAGCCGCCACAGGAGACGCAACCCTCGCTCGCTCATCGGGACGGACGTGAACCTCCGTGGGACTGACACACGCCCTCCCCGCTCCGCCACAGCGGCCACTTGTGCACGGCCACGCAGGCGCGCGCGCACGCTCCTCTGCATTCACCCAGCGGCCCGGGTCAAGGTCATGTAACGTGAGTCAGCCCAGCTGTGGCTGCGATTGCCTGCCTGCCTGCCTGCCTGCCTGATATGACTCACGGAGCGGCCCTCGACGTGCAGCGTTTTTGTTGAATGGATGCAGGCCGTTTTTGCCCGGCACAGACGCATCAGCCGGTCTTGCACCTGCAATCGGCGCGGTGGGGTCACTAGGTCATCGCCGAGGCGGCGCCCGCTGTTAAGCGCAGCGAGAGTGCGACGGACGACTAGGCGGCCCTCCATCGCCACTCGGGCAGCGTTCCATCGCTACTCGAGATCGCAGCCATCGCCCCACACGTCAGCGGGACACGCTGGAACGGCCTCATCGCGATGGAGAGACGCGCCTGTTATCCCTGGAAACGGCCGGAGACTCGTCCGGCGCGAGCCAAAAGAGGCGATCTGGGCGCTGAGCGGCGCGGCGGGATTTCGACGGTCCGGCTGGTGGCGCGGGTCAGGCGGCGGTGTCTCAGCGGTGGCCCGGCTGGCGGCGGCCCGGCTGGTGGCGCGGGTCAGGCGGCGGTGTCTCAGCGGTGGCCCGGCTGGCGGTACGGGTCAGGCGACGGTGTCTCAGCTGCGGCCCGGCTGGCGGCGCGGGTCAGGCGACGGTGTCTCAGCGGTGGCCCGGCTGGCGGCGGCCCGGCTGGCGGCGCGGGTCAGGCGGCAGTGTCTCAGCTGCGGCCCGGCTGGCGGCGCGGGTCAGGCGGCGGTGTCTCAGCGGCGGCCCGGCTGGCGGCGCGGATCAGGCGGCGGTGTCCTGGGGTCAGCTGGCCTGCCCGGTCGGCTTACGCCGCGTCGGAGACCGGTCGACCGCGCGGGGCAGGCTGCCGAGGCCAGTGCGGCGGGACACAGCGCGGCGGAGCTGGGCTGGTGTGGCTCTCCCGCGGATGGACTGGCTCTCCGGCTGCCGGGGCGTCTGGGGCTTCTCAGATTGCGGGGTCGATGGGGGTCGGGTCCTCGGCCAGCGGCAGCATCGCCGGGAATTTGTGAATCCGTTTCCGTTTACCTTGTCATATGGTGGGAGGAGCGGTAGAGCGGCATTTTGTCTTGACCTGAGCATACCGTGGGAACTTACGAACATTCCTGCATCGAGCCCCTTTCATTTTCAGACCGCAGCTGTGAACTTGTCACAGTCAGTGAAACAAAATAGCCCGCGTTCAAACCTCGCTGCCCTCCGCAATGAAGCCCCTGTTGTGGCGGCTCTGGTAACGGTCTGTGGCCGGGACAGTGGACTCGTCCGTCTGAGGAGCGAACCCTTTGTCCGATGCCGCCCCTAATCTGACCTGTCACTTGTCGTGCCCAGCCATCTGTGTCCAATAGGGGCTATTACATCACACTCGGAATGCCTCAGTATTTTGCTGAGCTTGGCCTCTGCCTTTTCAGGGACGTTGTTTTGCAAAATGAGCCGGGGAGGAGGCGCAGAGTAGTGAAAAAATAACGCAACCTATCCCCAAAATATGCTAACAAACGGATTTCTCCCCATATTTCGCCTACTTCGTTCCCCAAGTTTGCGGGCTGGAGCCCAACTTGGTTAGATGCGGGAGGGGGGGGGGGGGCGTCCAATCAAATAGGCTACTAGATCCCTGCTTATTTAAGAACAGCTCTGCCAACATTGGACATAATCGATGTAGTACAGCACAATGCTTTCTGATCATTCCTGCATCACATAACCGGTTGCGAAATGGACGAGCTTATGAACTTTCCTAGGAACGAACTGATTGATTGTGGGTAAAGCATGCAATGTTCGCAGTATTGAAATCTATCATGTGTAAAGATCTTAAGCACGGTCTGTATGCAACCAACCTGTCCAATTCCATCCTCTGCCAGTGTAGCTGCGGCCGTACCAACTTTAAAAGGCGGTATGGCAGCTGCGGAAACTGGACCCAGCTGAACGGGAACCTGACAGCAGTCACCTGTCACCATGACAGCAGCGGCACTAGCCCGGGTATTGGCCCGTCTTCGACAAACGTCTCCGCGCGTTGTTCGAGACTGGGAGCGTGACGTCGCTCGTGCGGCCGACCTGACTGCCTCTGCTGCCGGGCCGCCCGGTCATGGCTCGGTGAACGCCGCCGGGGTGTGTTCGGCTCCGGTCGCCCCTGGGGTGTGTTCGGCGCCTGTCGCCGCCGGGTGTGTTCGGCTCCCGTCGCCGCCGGGGTGTGTTCGGCGCCGGTCGCCGCCGGGGTGTGTTCGGCGCCGGTCGCTGCCGGGGTGTGTTCGGCTCCGGTCGCCGCCGGGTTGTGTTCGGCGCCGGTCGCCGCCGGGGTGTGTTCAGCGCCGGTCGCCGCCGGGGTGTGTTCGGCGCCGGTCGCTGACGCCGACAGCGGCGCCCCTGACCGGCTCGCGGTCCGCGCCGCGGTCCCGGCCGGAGAGGGGAGACGCAGGAATGTCCGGCGGCCCCCTGGTCGGGCCGACGTCACTGGAACACGGCCCGCCCGACCCGATCGGCTTTGTTTCACAGCGTGCCCAGCCACTACCGTATCATGCATATTGATCGGCGGCGTCCCGGCTGGCGTTCGGTGGGCCGAATGACTCTGGCGCCGTCTGGCATTGGTAACCGGAGCCGAGGGTCGGCTGGTCACGCCCGGTAACAGGTCGGCCGCTCGTACCTGAACGGCAGCCGGAGGCACCGGTGTGGCGTGGTGTGGAGCCCGCGCGCCGATGGCGGAGGCAGCGGCGCCCTCGGCTGCCGCCCCGGCTGCGCTGCTCTGCCCGGCGGCGGTAGGGCGGGGCAACGCAACCAGCCTGCCTGCCTGACGGTCTGTGGCGTGCCCTCTTGACACTTCCGCGTCGATCGAGACTGAAGGCGCGTCCTGGAGGCGCGTTCGGAGGCGTCGGTGGCTCGTTCTTCGCCGGCAGGCAGGTGTCTGAGCGGATTATCAGCCGTGCGCCGCCTCGCCCGGTGTCTGGTCTCTGACCGCCCCCGGTCCATGGCCACACCATTAATCGCGCCCGGCGCTGGGCGAATACACTCCCGCGCGCCGAGGAACCTGTCTCACCCCGACAAAGGGTCGTAAATTGGCGCCGCACAAAAAAGTGTCGGTCGGCTAATGAATCTGGACGGACCTTGACTGTCTGACGCGCGTAGAGGCGGCGGGGAGACGGCTGGCGCTGCTCCGCTCCCTGGACACGCTGCGGGGCGATGGCGTGGACGGCGCGACCGGGGCGGTGACGCTGCTGCAGCCGCACCGGCCGTCAGCTGGGGCGGCGCTCAGCGAACGTGAGCGAGGCTTTGAACGCGGGAACGAGTGGGACGCGCCGACGCGAGGTGACGTTACCTTCGCGGCCGCCCACTGTCAGTGATGCGGCGTGCTGTGTCGCGCTGCGCTCCGCCGTCTGCAATGGCCGGCGCGGGGGGTCGTTGGCCGTCGCTCGTGCGCGGCACGGTGGGAGTGGGCCAGCGTCGCGGAACAAACTGGCCCCGGTCGCCCCGGACGCCAGCCGAACCGAATCTGTCGAAGCGCGCGGCGGGCCGGGCCGTGCCGGATTCCCACCCGGCCCGGAAGTCCCGCCGCCGACCACATTGCACCGCTCGTCATGTGCGCTTCCGTGATCGTGTCGCGCGCTAGTTTGGCCCCAGCTCCCCTTGGATGTAAGCGTACGGCTGAAAGCTCGTTCTGGACGGAGTCGCGGTCGTCCGCGGTCCGTGCCGACCGGACGGGAGTGAGATCACTGCCGGTCTGGTTTCCGTGGGCGGTATTTCGGTCGGCGTAGACCGGACTCTGCCGCCCGCGCAGGCCGGCGGACGTGCGGCGGCGGAAGGCGTGTGATGGGGCACCGCCGGGGCTCGCCGTGTTCTGCGGCGGCCGCAGCGATGGTCCGTACTAACGCTCCCGCCCGGCTGTCTGTGGCAGGCTCCCGCCCGGTCACAGCGTCAAGAGCTATGGACGCCGCCTCCGGTCGGCCGGGCATGGCCGGCCGCTCGTGCGGACGCGTGGCTCCACCGGCACCGTGCCGTCGAGCTGGAGACGGGCCGGCCGCTCGTGCGGACGCGTGGCTCCACCGGGACCGTGCCGTCGAGCTGGAGACGGGCCGGCCGCTCGTGCGGACGTGTGGCTCCGCCGGCACCGTGCCGTCGAGCTGGGACGGGCCGGCCGCTCGTGCGGACGTGTGGCTCCACCGGGACCGTGCCGTCGAGCTGGAGACGGGCCGGCCGCTCGTGCGGACGTGTGGCTCCGCCGGCACCGTGCCGTCGAGCTGGGACGGGCCGGCCGCTCGTGCGGACGCGTGGCTCCGCCGGGACCGTGCCGTCGAGCTGGGACGGGCCGGCCGCTCGTGCGGACGTGTGGCTCCGCCGGCACCGTGCCGTCGAGCTGGAGGCGGGCCGGCCGCTCGTGCGGACGTGTCGGCACGCGGGGCTAACGCCGCCGGCGCGCACCGCGCCGCGCCGGGCCGCGCCGGGCCGCGCCGGGCTGCCTCAAACCTGTTTTGCCGGGGCG